CGTAAAAAGACAGTATGAGTCATTATAATCCATAATTATGTCCCCGCTGGATGCAACAAATGCCTCGTTTATAATGGGTTTTATTGTTTTTGTCTCGTCGCTCTGGCCGGGACAAGGCATCACAATATGGCAAGGGGCGTAACATTTCCGTCACACGCTTGAGGTATTCGGCCAATCGCAACGCACTGGATAGCTGGCCAATCAGAGCACACCTCGCTTTTCAGACCGATGAGCTTTGTAAAAATCTACGCGTTTCAGAAAGGCGGGGCATAGAGGAGAAACAATAATGTACAGTATGTGGAAAGTAATGTGTTACACCAAATACACAAAATAATGTTCTTTTTAGCAACATCATATGACCCCTTTAAGATGTTTGTGCTATATATATATATATATATTTTTATGAAAAAAATGGTCACTGCAAAGTGATATATACAATATAGATGAACATAGATAACATTCTCAACAATGGACTACACAGGACAGACACACAACACTACAGTATACAGTATAGACACTAGTGTAGACAACACTACATACAAACACAATACTACAGTAAGCACACGACTACACTGCAACAAACTGGACATGACAAACAACAACAAAGTACATTATAATAATCCAATTATCATTGGCAACAGAGACAGAACGTCATATTAGTTTGGGTGGGTATGCTAATGGGATGCCAATTTACCTGCCCTTAAAGAAGGCCACATAGAAGACAGGTGCAAATGCATTCATGCTCTTCAGCAAAAAAGCTTTCAAGATCACATGCTCCTCAAATGTCGATTCAGTCTTTGGAATCTCTGCAAGTATGACATTAACATCATATTCATAATAATCATCGGTAATGCATGATCTTTTCTTCGTCAGAGTCACACTTTTATCAAGAAAACAAAAACATTTCATCTTTTGTCATGTAAACACACACACACCAAGCTCTGTAATCCAGGCCGCTATAGCGCCGTAGATCTCATCCAGCACCAGAACCACCAGCAAGTTGATGATGACAGCGGTGGTTGTCACGGTTACACGCACATTAGCCTTGGCCTCATGATCAGGGTTCATTGACATAACAGCAAACACAATGATACGGTAGAGAATCACTCCAGATACGGCAGAGAACGTGACCCCAACCTGAGAAAACAGATAAATGTGAATTTTAACTGTAAAAACTATGCAACAAATGCCGTTATGGGGAAAGGTACCTACCATAAGGAGGATAGAGGATATGTTGATGCAGTACCCTGGCAGCCTGTCTGTCCATGACAAAGACTCAGAGGCAAGCTACAAGAACAACAGGATGTTACTTAATGCTCACCATATCAGCTGTGAATACACTAGCTACTGGAGTACCATAATCACATTTTGCATGATACTGACAAGCAATTATTATTTGTGACCCATGCTGACAAAATGAGTCGGAATGCACATAGGCTGATTTTGAACTATAGGCAAAAAAAAAAGTGAAAATTTGAGGTTTTCACAAAAATGAATTCATTAAGCCCTTGTCTAGCGATCCTGATGCTCCAAATAGTAATCAAACATTTAAAATGATAATATATATAGATTACAGTATTTCAAAATATCTGTCTTGGCGAGTATTCACACAAACACTATCTGTTATGTCTTAAGTGAACCATTGGGGAACTGTTGGGGAAAAACATCTGATGTGTAACATTATATTAGATCTGTGCATTACAGTAGGTCTTAATATATAAGGCCGTCTGTCTCATTACTGTTAATCTAACAATAAAAGAAACAAAGGAATCACTCAATGCTCTTGATTGAACTGCTTTTTTAGTTTTAATCGTTTTTTAATAATACATTTGTATTGAATACACTGAAGTTATTTTTTACATTTGATTAGTCTGTTTTTCTTACATGAATGCTTCTGCACGGAAAAAAATATACTAAATTTTTTTAAGGTAAGTGGTTGCAAACAATTTATTTTAGCTACATTTAAATTAAAAAAATGTTGAATGTTAGTCAGCTAAATTTGTTTACTTAAATGTAGCTCAAATAATTTTATTGTAACCACTTACCTTAAAAAATTAGTAAATTCAATGAATCATTAGATCTGTGCATTACAGTAGGTCTTAATATATAAGGCCGTCTGTCTCATTACTGTTAATCTAACAATAAAAGAAACAAAGGAATCACTCAATGCTCTTGATTGAACTGCTTTTTTAGTTTTAATCGTTTTTTAATAATACATTTGTATTGAATACACTGAAGTTATTTTTTACATTTGATTAGTCTGTTTTTCTTACATGAATGCTTCTGCACGGAAAAAAATATACTAAATTTTTTTAAGGTAAGTGGTTGCAAACAATTTATTTTAGCTACATTTAAATTAAAAAAATGTTGAATGTTAGTCAGCTAAATTTGTTTACTTAAATGTAGCTCAAATAATTTTATTGTAACCACTTACCTTAAAAAATTAGTAAATTCAATGAATCATTTTTTCAGTGTGTTTAGATGTAAGATGAAAAAAGTAAGAAAAGTTCTTTCTCGTATTTGTTCTACTGTTTATTTGCATCTTTGTTCTAATTTTTAGTAATAAAGATAAAATAACAATCAGCTATATTGTGATTATTAATACAGTGATTATTAAAAGAAGTGGAGGAAAAGATGCAATGTTGTAGGTGATAGGAACCTTCAGAAAACATTAACTCGTTTTTTTCGACTTCAAACGGGTGTAGCTCAGTCATTTTTGTCTGATTCAAACAAATCATACATCATTTTGAAGGTTAAAATAAAATAAAAATAAAAAGAACTCGTTTTTTGAAAATTTGCTCATTGTGACTCATTTTGCCAGCACAGGTCACATTTTTACGGTATTGCAATAACCAATATGATAGCCCATACTATAAAAAGTCTATACCAGAGGTGCCCAGTCCTGTTCCTGTAGATCTACCTACTGTACCTGCAGAGTTCAGCTCCAACCCTGATTAAACACACTTCAACCAGCTAATTAAGCTCTTCAGAAGCACTTGATAATTACAGACAGGTGTGTTTGATCAGGGTTGGATCTGTACTCTGCAGGTGGGATTGATTTATTTAATCCTTTTTTAAACAGAACATGAACAATGTTCACACTAATATCTATTCTAGAATTTTTACATGCTTCTGGACAAATCTGGCATCAAAACGTTATATACGTACGTGCATATACATACGTACGTTATATAATGTTATTTATGTACATTATGTACAGTCGAAATATGATGCTTTTGGGGGGGGGAAATAAATAAATAAATAAAATAAAATATGAAAAAAAGCAGAAAAAAGAAAGAATAAAGGTCTGTTCATGCCAAGAAAAATAACTATAAAGGTAACTATAATGATAACTATATTAGTGTCCACATCAATATATGATAAGGTTTGTTTATCATCAGCGTGATGCAGTTTTGTCATCTGTAGCTTTAAATGCTCAAGCTCTTTAAAGCAGGATGGATTCTGATTGGCTGTCAATGTTTTTATTGTTCATCAGCTGGAAAAAAATCATTCTGAAAGTGATTCCAACGATATTGTTGTTCACTGTCATTAACGTTATAGTTATGGCGTGGAGTTCCTGATTCTCAGAATTAGAATGATTATTAAATGTTATAATTATTGTTTTAGGATGGTGTGAACGGCCCCTAAGACTGGTCATTATATGCTTTTAGTTGGTGTATTTCACAAAATAAATACAAATAAATAATTTTAAAATGTAATGTTAGGAAATTAGATAAAAATTAAGTTTTTAAAGAAGCACCACAGTATTTAAAATTTTTTGGTCAAATCAACCTAATAATTGGTTACCTAAAAAATGACATCTTTAAAAATATGCTAATATTGACCATTACCAGTTTGGCCTGGTCTCCAATATATTGTGTAGTTATTCAGTTAAAAACTTAACACTGTTAAATATTACTTTTTACAAAATCTACAGCTGTTGTAGCGTCTTTGTGCATCAGAACAGCAAATAGTTTTGGACTTGCAACAAACTAATCACTGACACTAAGTAGGGCTGATTTGATTGAAGTGCTGAAGTTAATGAACAGCACGGATCCAACCCTCCCCCAGACGCGCACGCATCAAATCTGAATTAAAACACACTACACTCTCTCAGGTACACGCACATACACACTGAACATGTGTCTTTGATTAGAGGAAGGACACCACTCTATCTTGCGTGTTTTAATCCCGCTGACTCTAATCCTGCATAATCTAGTGTGGAATACCCAGAGAGGTAATCTGCTTTGAGTGCCGTGTGTAGTAAGCGTGTACGCCACAGAGAGTGTTTGAGCGCATACGTGTGTTGTGTCATCCTTGTTCAGTAATATTTTAATAATTCAATAATATTCTGATATTTTTAAAAAATCTGATCTGATATTTGCATGATATCAGGGAATTGTGATTTCCAAGCTTGGAAAAGTCATCGAAATTATTAAGATTATAAGAAGACATGATAAAGTTTAATCATAGTGAATATAATTTTTTTTTTGTTATATACAGCTCTAAAATTGTTTTTTTTATAATTGTAATTATTACTCTTTTAGGATAAAAATATATTTTTACAATTATAATTATTACTCTTTGTGAGTACAATCTTTATAAAATTACTATTTTTTTATTTTAAAATAATTATTCAGTAATCACAAACAACTGAAAATGTTATGGAAAATTATGGAAATTCATCAGTCAAAACATAAAAACCTAATAGTTTTGTACATAATGGTGCAGTTTACCTCTTCCTTCTTCTTATTCTTTGCCTTCTTCTCTTGTTTCTTAAGAAGAAAGTCCTCATATGCTGGTCGTAGCTCATTCTGTCACACATACACACACACACACACACATCAAGCTCAGTGATCAAGGACTCCAAAGATTTCAAAAAGCAGCAAATTCAACATCAATTCCTTAGACATGCATAAGCAAAACTGTCTCCATAGAAACAGGATTCACAAACAACACAAACACAAATAGAAAGAAATATCTTGGTTCCACATTAAATCATTTTCTTGTCTTGAGGCAAAGTCGCCAGTATGGTACAAAACTGCAAGTTCATTAAAAAGCTTTTTTTTATAATTGTAATTATTACTCTTTTAGGATAAAAATATATTTTTACAATTATAATTATTACTCTTTGTGAGTACAATCTTTATAAAATTACTATTTTTTTATTTTAAAATAATTATTCAGTAATCACAAACAACTGAAAATGTTATGGAAAATTATGGAAATTCATCGGTCAAAACATAAAAACCTAATAGTTTTGTACATAATGATGCAGTTTACCTCTTCCTTCTTCTTATTCTTTGCCGCCTTCTCTTGTTTCTTAAGAAGAAAGTCCTCATATGCTGGTCGTAGCTCATTCTATCACACATACACACACACACACACACACATCAAGCTCAGTGATCAAGGACTCCAAAGATTTCAAAAAGCAGCAAATTCAACATCAATTCCTTAGACATGCATAAGCAAAACTGTCTCCATAGAAACAGGATACACAAACAAAAGGATTCGTTGACACAGGTTACTACAATATTAATCCACTATAAATCTCCCCTCTTCCTACGAATTCAGGGTTGATTCATCAAACAGCGTCACCATACATGCCGAATGGTGTGAAGAAAAACGCAAACGGGGATGGAGCGATGATGAGGGTGGGGGAAGTGTGAGGGACACGGAGAGAAATATCGTGTGCGTTTGAGCATGTCGGGAACCATATAGAAACAGAGATCGAGAAAGAGAGCAGGAGATAGGTTTACCTCAGCCCTTTCCTATCGGTGAGCATGAAAGCAAAGAAAACATAACATTAGACACATGTTTGCACTATTTAACATGCGGTGTAATTGAAGTTCATTGTTGTTCACATTAGCATGTCGCTCATGATCTCCATGGCATCCTGTTGAGAGCGCAGACCTTCATCCACTCAGCTCAACGCTTTAAGCAGAACACTATCTCATTACTCACACATGGCCTTTCACACACACACACACATACACACCATCGTCTCCCACCACTTACACAACACACGTTCAGACTGAATCAGCTCCCAGGTGAACGGTTCAAACCCTCAAGAACAATGAAATCTTGAATTTTCATAAACCTAATGAAGAGCAGGCCATCAGCAGTCAGCGCGAGGGTCTGCTGGAGTCGCACTAGAGAGAATTGGCTATTATGTTGGATTATGTTTATCAATGCTTTATGAACTGCGTTGCTGCGAGTTTGCGCTGATGCTCATAGGTGAGATTCTGGAGTGGTTTTTAAGAAGGCAGCGATATTGGAGGTTATGCATAACAATCATTATACCACAGTTAGGAAGTCATGCTGTGCTGGATAGAGGTGCATCGAGGATGATCTATATGCTTATTTTACTTTTATTCAGCAAGGATGCATTCAATTAATCAACAAAGAGAGTTCTATTACAAAAGAGTTCTATTAATTACAAATAAATGCTGATTTTTAAACTTTTTATTCATCAAAGAATCCCGAAAAATGTATGTATGCATCAAATCAGCATATTAGAATGATTTCTGAAGGATCACGTGACATTGAAGACTGGAGTAATGATGCTGAAAATTCAGCTTTTCATCACAGGAATAAATTATATTTTAAAATATATTCAAATAGAAAATAGTTATTTTAAATTGTAATATTTGACAATATGAGAATACAATAAGAATGTCCCCTCTTTACTACAGACTGCAACCAACTAGCAAGTAACAAATCTTTGCTCATGGCTATTACCTATATTAAAGTATATATATATATATATTTCTCCTTTAATCCTTTGATGTGCCTGCCCAAACTTCAGTTTTTTAAATCAGAATTCCACTCAGTGAGCAGCATTTTTTAAATGATGCAGTCACAGATGTGCATATGTCAGCTATTTTACAGCTTCGAAAATCTGATTTTAGAGCTGCCGCTATTTAATAATGAATATTAGAGGTGTTCTGTGACTTTGATCATGTTTCTAGTATTCTGAAATGCTTGGGACTTTTTCTCACCTCATCGTCTTCCATGCCTGTCAGATCCCAGCTGTGCTGTAAACATCGCTGCCTCCTCTTCCAGTGTTCTAGAAACACTGCAGCTAAACACACACACACACACACACACACACACACACAAACACAATTATCACAACACTATCTATTCCTCTTTACACCACCTTATTTCTTCTCAATATATTATAAATGTACAGTAATCACATAGTTTATCATCAAATGCACATATTCATACAGCTCATACCCCAGAGGGACATAAAGATGGCGAAGCCCACTGTGGCATGGTTATCAAACAGATAGCTGGTACGCGCCGTACTGCAGATACTGCTCAGCTGCCAGTAATCACACACACGATCACATAGAGGACACATGGTGAAATTAAGACGTTCATCACACATCTCTTGACTGAAAGAGAGGGAGAAATTAATTATTGATTATATCATAAACATTCACTGCAATACATAAACATTTATTTTCTTTGAAAAATTTTGGAAAAAATATCAAAACTAAACCTTATAAAACATCCCCGGAAAAGGCTTAATTAAGGAAATAAATCAATGCAATTCAAATATAAATGTTCCAAAATACATATTAGAGTTACTGTTGGTTTGATCTAAAGCAATTAGCTTATATTATGAAAAAAAATTATTTCAATATTAAGTCCCCACAAGGTAAATAGCTTAATAAAAAAACTAAATAAAGTCTTAATGAAAATCTGTGAGGGTCAGATTCAGGATTAGGGCATAGAAAAATATTTGTTTGTTAAAAAACATCAGAAGTTAAAGGGTTAGTTCACCCAAAAATGAAAATTAGCCCACAAATTACTCACCCTTAAGACAATTTTTAATGTAACTCCGGCTGGATTCGTCTGAAAGAAGGAAGTCATATACACCTAGGATGACTTGAGGGTGAGTAATTTGTGGGCTAATTTTCATTTTTGGGTGAACTAACCCTTTAAGGCAAAGACCCCATGATGATAGAAAAAATGGAAACATGTGAATGTGTTTACCTGGGCACATTGGTGTCTACGGTGAGGCAGCCGTACAGGAATACTGCGACTCCTAAAGCCGAGGCTGGAATCAGCAGCTGTGTGTACACTCCCAACCAGGCAAAATACAGGCCAATCTTCTCTCCAAAGTACTTCCTTTTGAATACAGGTAAACGGGTTACAGAACTGTTACGAATTTGACAAGGTAAACAACCACTGAATACCAGCACATGCAAAAACGCTGTTTTCAAAAACAGTGACTGCACGGAATATGAACCTACAATTGAACCTGAATGCCATTCACAAGTTTTACACATCCTCCAACTCTTGTATATTCATTTATTAAAATATTTTGTCTATTCTGATTATGCTTTCAGCATCTACAGTCCATTCCAGAGCTTTTCCCCATAATCAGCTCAGAATATGTCAGTTTGCAGACTCCATGTGAGCCAAAAGATAAGTAATACATTTACTAAATAGTCTTAGTATTGTACTGTCAAAGACATACCGTCTGCCATTCTCAGCGTGCATGCTATACGGTGGGCATGTTTTAAATATTCGTGATGTCCAGGCGGGCATATTAAATTCACCAGATGCAAAGCGTCTTCTTTTACTCTAAAAACAAAGCTGGATTGTAGCAAGTTGCAGGTCATTTAATAATGTTTTTTTTATGCTGAAAATGCTTGTTTGATAAGCATTCTGGGATAGGCAGAATGAGACTGTTTTGTCAGGTGTTTTGTTGCCTGCCAGCCAGGTGAAATCTTGAAAATGAAAAGTGACATCGGTTCTCAACCAGCCATGCGATTTAAAGTAGAACTATTTACAGCAAGCCACAAAAATACACACAAACATCTGACAGTTATCAGAAAAGAGATCCAGTTAATAACCATCTGTGTGCTGAATAACATCCTTCACAGAACCAGATGGTAGGGATGTACGTCATGTCTGATACCTTATAAGGTCCATTGGCTGATATTTGTAGCAAGCACCATAATTGGCCCATTCCTCATGCAGCATCTGCAATACACACAAATATCACTCATTACTAGGGATGTAACGATATCAAAATCTCATGATACGATACTATTGCGATATGAAGTCCACGGTACGATATTTATTGCGTAATTAAAAAAAAAAGACAAATGAAGAATTGGAAAAAAAATAACATTTTGTACATTTTAAAGTTAAATGATTCTATCTAATGCACTTTGAGAGTTCAACATTAGAAGCTGCAACCCATGTTCTTAAAGGGTTAGTTCACCCAAAAAGGAAAATTAGGCTGTGTTTTACTCACCCCCGAGGCATCCTAGGTGTATATGACTTTCTTCTTTCAGACGAATCCAGTCAGAGTTATATTAAAAATTGTCTTTGATCTTTCAAGCTGTTTAATGCCACTCAGCGGGTGTTGCATTGCTTCAGTCCAAAAGAACTTAAATAAAAATCGCCCAT